GCCACCGTCCCTTACTTTAGCGTCTCCTTCGTCTACTTCGGGACTGAGCCCAAGTGGTCTCCTCGCATCTTCGGCTATGGCCATCTCTGCAAACGCATTGATGGGTCCATCACCACGCAGCATTCCCTCTTCTCCTATTAGTCTGGCCTCATCTTCGACGCCTGGAATGATGGCCTCTATTGTAGTGCAGTCTAGTGTTTCGAGTGGAAGGCCGCCCGAGTTACCTCCGCGAAAGTCCAGCACCGCATCAACGAATGGCATGCTGCTCAGCCAACCCTCGAGTGTACATAAAACATCAAAGGTAAGCATTTAGTGGATTAGCAGTAAGCATTCGGCCTGCTGCATTATCGTCATTTTCTTAAGGTTTGGATTTACGAATGGACTTTATTAAGTCTATTTGACTTCATTTAGGACAAACTCATATTTTCTAGAATAAATAGCATCCGAGACTATAACCAATTTTGTAATAAGCTAGGCAAAGGCATAGAAATAGAAGTTATGCAATAAATGATAATAGGAAATCTGACTATAGCAGATGTAAACAACAGGGACCAGGAGATCGGTGTATTGAGGAATATACTATTTCAAGCAACGAACCATTGGGATTAGGAGACAACTACATATTGAGTGTCAGTGACAAGATAAGGTGAGATTGATATCTAGAACGGGATAAACAATTGTATCATTTCACTCGTTTTCTGACTTTGCCTTCCTGTCAGCTTGCGAAAAAGTTGGATGATCAACTGAGAAAGTGGAACATAAAAGCAATGTATGAAGAGAAATTAAAACTTTCTTTAATATAATTTTCATTTCGAGAATTTTTGGACGCTCTTTCTAGATCAGAATATTAAAATGTCCTGTGTTGATGTGGTAATGTCTATGTTGGGGAGACCTGCGGACGCATTCAGAAGAGACTATGCAAACACAAAACCGTTTGTAAAGGTCTATGGGTCCAAAAAACTGAACGCGCTGAGCATATGGCCAATACATGACACATAATAGACTGGTCAAAAACACAACGTCTTGCGGGTTCCCAGGACC